TCACCCGTAGAAGGTGCCTGCACACACCGGAGGCGTCTGCAACCACAGGTGGAAACTGACATCAATATTCTTCGTCCCTTAAGCAGGCAGCAGCCAGCAGCCACCAGCCGCCAGCCACGAAAGTGGGAAAATTGCTTGGCAACCACACAATTATGGTCACGTCTTGGGACAAAGTTTGCGCCTTGCACTTGATATTCGTGAATAAATTGGGCCCCATGGGCCCCCCACCACATACGAAAGGCACGCACTGTGCTGCATTCCGCTCAGGGTTTGTGGTTGAGTACAGTGCTGTCCAATAATAATGCAATACTAATTGGTGACGAAATGCCTCATCTATGGTGGGGCCTTTTGGGTGTCGGCGAGTGCTGTGTTGCCACTCAAATAGTATAAATGTCTGCCAGGGGCCACTGATGTCTGGCATACCTGAAGGCACCCTGGGAAAACAAGTGCAAAGAATGACATGTTCAACAGCGGCAGGAACCACAACAGCCAAAGCGAGAGGCAAATAATAATGCATAAATTGTGGCAAGTTGGTGGAGACGACTACAACGACGACGACGACTTCACCACGTTAATCCCTGTAAAGACATTGCCTCATCCTGATTTCCATACCCCTTATTTCCCCCCCACACCTCACCCTGATCCCACCCATCCGTGCCGCCCCCCTCAGCCTTTTTTTCCAGCCATGAACCTAAGTGGAACACTTCCTGATATTAAAGATGGGGGAATATGGCAAAGATTTTTTCACTTTACAGCGCGGTGAGAAAACTTTTTAATTATCTGAGTGTGTGGCAATTAAAGCCATATAAAAAGTTCTCTCTCTCTCCCTCTCTGTCTGTCTGTTTGGCCCCGTCAGCACCAATCAACTTCATCCTTGTCTTAAGCTGAAATTAAAATAACTTGGGTTTTGTGCCCTTTCGTCTTGCAACAAAACTAAGGACAAGTGGCAGCAGCAGCAGAAGATCCTGGCTAGAGAGAGGGGCAGAGGGAGAAGAGTGAGCCTTTAATGGGTCACAGGGTCAGCTTTAAGTGGCACACAGATACACAGATACACATGGACTATGGTTCAGTGTTCAATTCAATTTCCATTCAATTCAATTAGATGGGGGAGGATTTAATTGAAATGCCATTGCCGCTGCCACAGCCACAGCCACAACCGAATAGCCGCATAAAGTGGGATAATAAGCCGATAAACGAAGCTCCAGATACCCTTCAAATTCAATCAGAAAGGAAGAACATGCCAGGCAAGATGGGAGAACCTTTGATTCCGCATACCCTCTTGTAAGGGCATTAACAGGGGAAAACTTTTCAATGCCTCAGCACAAAATGCTGTCCAAACATTTTTCCCGTGCAGACGACTCTGCTAAGATTCCTTGGTCCACCCCCCCCGTTACCGAAATTGACGTCAATTGATATTGATAATCCATGCATTATGCGCGATAAACAAAGTTAATTGAATCAAAGGCGATGCCCGGTCTGGGTCGCACCAGTGTCTCAATGGGGGACTCAGTGGTAATGGCTCGCTCTCGCTCTCGTGCCTTCCTCTTTGCCTAATGCTAATGGTGCGTATGAGCAATGTGCGTGAAGCACGAAATACCATGCCAAATGAGATTAGAGCTCAGATTGTATCAGTGTCTCATCGATACGTACATTAAGCGACATTAACTTGGAATCGATTGATTAAAAGGCAATGGGCAGACATGTGCTTACTTGTTTTTCCACAGAAATTATTCGAATATTCCAGGGACCTGAAGGGCACTCTAAAAAAATTAAAACAATAAGTAATTATGGCTTGAGAGAGAATCCGGCACAGAATGAGGTGAGGCTTGGCCCTCTGTTCACACTCTGTTAAGTCTAAAGACTCGGTTACTTTCTGTTAACTCTACAGAGTCTGCTACTCTCTGTTAACTCTACAGACTAGGTTACTCTCTGTTCACTCTACAGACTCTGCTACTCTCTGTTCACTCTACAGACTCGGCTCGGTTATTCTCTGTTAACTCTACAGACTCTGCTACTCTCTGTTAACTCTACAGAGTCTGCTACTCTCTGTTCACTCTACAGACTCTGTTAATCATGTGGCTTTCCACCGAATCCAAAATGAATTCAATTACTTTCTTCTCTCCATATCCGCTCCGTCCAATGATGGTAGAAAAAGTGATCGCATATTATTATTTGGGAATAGGGACGGAATTTTTGGGCAATCCTAAGGCCCTTAGCCACGGTCTATTCTTACAGAAGTGATTCCCTCTAAGTGATTCCCCATTTCATCTCTTAAGGAGGTAGCGCAGCTCTGGCCTGGCCTGGCCTGGCATGGCATGGCAGTGACAGTGGGTCAGGGCTACACACCACCTGCCAGGGCGTCAAAATTAAAAAGTTTCGACAGCGCTTCAGCAACAATTTGAGAAGTTTCTTGATGCTTGAAATGAACAATAGTTTTAAAATGCCACTGCCTGGCTTGGAGGTGCCAGCAGGGTGCCAGGGGGAGGGGGTGCCACGGATAATGGGGCCCGGGAGTAGAGGATCCCGAATAATGGGTCCAGAAAGGAGCAGGAGCACGAGGCTTGGAGGCACGGGCACAGTTTTATGAGCTTGGGCAAAAAGTTAGGCAACAATTATTTTTTGTCGTGGGGGTGGGGGCAGGGGGAGGGGGCACAAGTAAAAATACGAAAAATCTACATGACACTGAATGAGTTTTCAAAGTTTTCCTCTGCCAGGGTAAAGAGAGAGAGAGAGAGAGAGATAGAGACAATGGTGGAAGAGAGACGAACGCATTAACAGTTTGAATGTGTGTCTAATGCGAAATTCGGAGAATTCCTCCACCTATTCCTCCTCCCAACCGAACACCTCTTCCAAAATGCACTCTCAAAGCATATACGCACTGAAGGAAACATCCTGGGCAAAAACTCTCCTCCCTACACTGAGAAAAAACTGCTACTTCGAGTAGAACGAACTTTACACATTAAGAAAACATGGGTATTCCATCTATATGGTTCTAGGGGAATTCAAAGGCCATAACAGTGACACTGCTCAGGGCAACAGCTGTAACAGAGCGGCAACAGTGGTGCCAACAGCCTGTTACCGCCCCTGGTTACAGCGCACTGTTACCGCTCTCTGACAGCTCTCACAGAGAAATGTTTTCAGACCTGGAACTTCTAGATTTTGCTGGCTTTTAGAATCAACTAAACAACTATTTTATCTGTAGAGTATAGCTTCGAACTGAACTGGATTGAAGGATAATGATGATAATGAATTTGAGCATTTATCTAAAGAGTTTCCTTAATGCATCAACAAAAAATTGTGCTCGACATCGGGGTTTCTTAATACCAGTAGAAGGTGGTACAAGTGCTGGGCATTACAGAGGTCTGCACGTCATTTAGATAAAACTGTTTGGCTATAAAGACCCATGTAGATCGATCGATAACATATTGTACAGCCAATAAAGTCTCCTGTTTCTTTCAGTGGAGCTCTGCCTTTACCTGATACTCTCTCGACTTGCCTTCTGCTTTGCTTCTACTCCCTTCTACCTCCTATTGTCCGCTCAGCGCCTCCTATTTCCGTGCTGTAGCCCCTGATTTCCTTCGATGCCTCCTGTTGCCACAGATCGTTCTTCTTTCACACATGTGGACTCCATCTACAACTCCACCACTGGGCACACTTCCTTCTGCCTCTGTCTGCCCTTCCTCGGTATGCCTCTATGTGTGTGGCACGGTCTTTGTCTCTGTCTGTGTATCTGTCCTTCGGAAACGGAAAGAAATCAGGGACACTTCCCCCTTGCAGGGCGTGGCTGGGGATGAGGTCTCCAGTTGTCTCTTCTCTGTTCGTTTTAAAACTTTGCGCAATTGTAATTATTTTTCGATTTGCATGCTGCAGTTTTTGCAGTTGTCCGGCAACTTTGCAACAACTGTGAAGGGACGAGAGCGTAACACAGTGGGGCACACAATAAAACTGGCACTTTCAGCTGCCACTTTCAGCTGCAGCTGCAGCCACCGCCTCCTGCTGGATGGATGGGAAAATGCCTGAGCAAATGTTTGGCTTTGTTCGCTTAATTACAAAAATTGCAAAAGCTTCAAATAATTTTGATCAGCTTTCTCCTGCAGGGCCGCCGCTGTTCCTCCTGGACACACAGGACGCTGGACAGGATACCATATGAGGCCCGAATCGAGAACAGGGGAGGGGCTGAGTGGCAGGAGTCCGATGAAAGTTGTCCAAATGTGGAAGAACTTTGCCACGCACTTGGTCACATTGTTTGAGTTGATAGAGGGGCTGCAGAAGGGCGGAGGAGGTAGGTGGCAGGAGAATGTAGGAGGAGGAATGCAGCAGGAGGCTTCAAGATGGATGCAAAAAGGGCGGAGAACGGTCCGAAAAGAGTTAGGGAGCAAACTGCAGAAGCTGCAGCTGTTCTTGCAGTGGCACGGAGGCAGAGTGTGCTGCTGCTACTGCTGCTGCTGCTGCTATGTGGTGCCTGTCAAGTGTGCGGGTGTGTGGGGGTATGTCCTGTGGTCATCAGCAGTCCAGGCCCGTCCACAGTCCACAGAAGTTGGAGCAACATCATCATCAAGAGCCAGAGCATTGAGTGCATGTCGGAAGTTGTGGAAGGAACAGAACAGGGGGCATGGCCATTGCTAGGGTTACGGGTTACGGGTTACGGGTTACGGGCTTGTGACCAAAAAACTGGCACTATATCTTCCACTGGGGGAGAGGAGGGAAGGGCCCCCAAATGTTGCCAATGTGACAAGAATTTTTGGGGAAAAAGCAGCCAAAAAGGACAACAGCAGCAGCAGAGAGCATTTTCCATGAAAAGAAGTTGAAAAGGAAAAGCGTTTCCAGGAGAAGAAAGATTACTTTTTTGATAGATTTTCGTGCAGATCCAAATTTTTGATTTTGCTTTTGACAATCTACAGAAAGCAGGCACAAGTATATGACATTTTTGGGAAAACCAAAGCCAAAGCCAAACCAAAATTTCGAAATAAAAGATTAGACTAAGGAAACCTTTCTTTGTGCGTGGACCTCAAACATAATGCCCAAAAGCGGGGAGACCACACCCCAAATCCCGCCTAAGCCGCACCGCTGGACCCGGCAAGTGTCGGATGTCCAGACCCAGACGACTCCCCAGGAATCCTCCAGTGATTTTGAACTTGACTCCGAGGGGGATGAGTCTCTACAGGCGCCCTCGGACCAGAGCGGTTTCTACGTCTCCCACGAGGAGACGTCTCTGGGGGTGCCCTCGGACTTCAGGGATGTCTCCTACGAACGCCGAAAGAAGAGACTGCGCCGCACTCTCAAGAAATGCTGCTGCTGTGTGGATCTCCGGGTGGGCTGCTGTTTCATGGGGTTCTTTGAGCTGTGCTCCTCGGCGATATGCCTGGTGCTCGGTGAAAGTAATTGAATGAAAGGGGCTCCTATGTGGATAGCGATATGGATACCACTTCCTTCTTTCCAGGTAATTGGATGCTGTATATAGGCCGTCTCGGATATATGGCTTACCTCATCGGATCGGCCATGCTGATGGTTGGCACCTTTTTGGTATGCTTTCTGGCCATACAAAGGGTCCTTGATGGCAGTCCTGGTCTCTTTCGCAGGAATGGCAGTGTCTCGTTAGGATCTATCTCTTCACGAACGTCGTGCATCTCCTGCTGTGCCCCCTGTTCATCCTGCAGCACGGCCTGAAATCCTGTTTTTATTGCTATTACGAAATCGTTGTCCTTTCTTTTCTTCTACGTAGCGTCCACACAATCTGTTGACATATTTTTCAGTCTTGCTAATGCACTTTTCTCACAGTACTCGGTCTGTATTTTGGGCTGGTGGCCTACTCCTACCTGTTGCAGATCCAGTGGCACCATTCCCGCTTCTACATGCCGCATGGCAGGATTGCAAGGAACGGCATACGGAGGAGCCGAAGGGAGGATATTGAGGGAGTGCAGCCGGCCGTTGAGAGCCAGGAACAGGAACAGGAACAGGAACAAGCACGGCAACTGAGCCAGCAGCACAGCCAAAGCGATATGGATCCTTCCAATGAGCAACAGTCAGTGTTGTAAGCTGTGTGTCAAAAACTGCATTTAAATATGTTTTTCATTATTCAATAGAAGTTATATCCAAATCAGATCAATTCCTCTCCACCTTTCCCTCTGTGCAGGCCAGCAGCTCTAACAGAGGAACGGCTCTATTAACATCCTAGGCTAACAGCATGTTACCACTCTCCGTTAACAGCCTGTGGCCGCTGCCGTTTACAGCACACTGTAACCGCTCTTCGGTAGCACTCGCGATCCACACGGCTCTCGAGCGGCCATAATTATAGCGAATATTCTAAGCCGCACGCCGACTTTAATTCCTTTTACTCATCGCTGAGGCACTCCTACATCTACAATTCTATCCACCCGCCCTCCTACAGCCACCTGCCTTGTCTTTTTTGTTGTCTCAAGCCAGCGGATGGACTTTGAGCTTTTCCTTTGAGCTTTTCCCGCCACAAACCCCATTTCCAATCTGCATCTTCGGTTACAGTTCCACTTCGGGGAGCGGCGCGGCGCGGCGCGGCGAGGTGCCACGTGTGGTACGTCCGCCCATGGGGATATGGTGACCGCAACGCCTTTTCCTTCCTTCTCTCTTCTTCTCCTTCGGTTCCAATGGTTCCGCTCTGGGCGACTGAAATTTAATACTTTTGCACATTTTCTAAACTGTCGTTGGCTTCTCCACTGCTCCACTGCTCCTCTCTCTCTCTCTCACAACCTTTCTCTGGCTTTTCCTATGGTTTTCCATGGCTTTGCCCCACCTTCCCTCCCCTTCGCTTTGCTTCGTCTCTCCCAGGAGACATGTGTGTACGTGTGTGTGTGTTCAGTGCCGAGCCTCTGTGCATTTTTCTATTCCCGTTTTCATTTATGCAACATTGCCACAGCGCGAGGAAACAGCAGCAAAAGCAACAGAAAAAATAGTCTGCGTTTTTCTAAAATTAAAAAAAAAAAAAAAGGGAAAGGGAAAGAAAAATCTTGGAAAATATGCGCGCTGCGTCGCTGCTTCATGGCTGCGGTTGACAGCGGTGGCAGAGGGCGCCGCGGCGGCTGCATGGACCATGGTGGTGCGGCAGCTGCAACATTGACGCCGCTGCCAGCGTTGCAGCACGGCAGCGTCGCAGCAGAGTTGCAATTTTTATGACATTTCATTTGCATGCCACGCGCAAAGGCAGCAGCAGAGGCAGAAGTAGATGTTGCAGCAGTAGCAGCAGCGAAAAGAAATTAAACACAACACAGCGTCAGGGGAGCTGCTGCTGCTGCTGCTGCTTCTGCTTCTGCTGTGCCCCCCGCTGTGGGGCAAGTGTGGTTCCGGGGGGAGGCCGCCATTTTAGTATGCACACAGAATTGTTAACAATATGGCGCCTCCGCATCGCCATACTTTGTCGCACCTCCCACTGCCTCCCTCCATTTGCCTTTTCCTTGATCTTCATTTGGGGGCACAGCATGGGGGGTATCCGCGATTTAAGAGGATTCGCCATCCAAAGGATTTCCATGGAATACCATCCACACAGCATCGAAGCACTCATTCAATCTGTACTACGTAGTACCCCTGCCCCACAAAATAACCTTCGAGGGTATCTGCCATTCGGCTCGTGTTCGCTCACACTGGAAAACAGTATTTGTATATTTTGTGTGTATTTTTTTAATTAATTCAGTTTTGAGCAATTAGTTTTGATGCGTTGCATTTAAAATTAATTGCAGCAGCAGCAGCAGCGTTAATTGGCTGCAATCCTCCCCACCTACTGCTGCCAACGATCCGCCAAGATATACAATACTATATAGTGCCATATATGGTCCATATGTACATATGTATATGGGTATATTCAGTTCAATTTGTGCAAATAAATCAACTGCAAAGTGTGGAAAAATGTGTAGTCGTTTTTGGCTCATTAAAGCTTAATTTGTTGGCGTTTTCCCTTGCCCGTTTGTGTTTGATGTGATTCGTGGATGTACATGGACCATATTATCTGCTGGAATAACCGATTAGACTAATGCCTTTAGAACACCCACAATATCGGAATCGATTTAACAGATAAAAAGACATGAGAACTCGTATCTGTGCAGCAGTTCAGCAGCGCTGTTAACGGCTCCCCAGGTTAACAGCCTGTTATCGTTTCCGTTTCCGGCTAATGCGCTCTGTTAACAGCCTGTGGCCGCTTCCGGTTACAGGGCACTGTTACCGCTCCCTGACATTCCAAGTGGCGGTACAGATGGCGTATTCTCATGTCCAAATCAAGAAACTTATTTATCTCAGAATTAAAATATCTATGCAGTGCCCGACTGTAGTCCAATATTGAGTCCAACTTAGACTCTAAGCGGTGGGGAAATAGATACCAAAATTTTTCCCGTAACTGAATGCTGATTTTGGGGCATCTTTGTAAAGCTGCTTTAACCACCAGGAACGCTCCAGTACGCTCCTATAATCGTCATGCCTGCCCATCTCTTGCTGCATTCCTTCATCTCGTCGTTTTTGTGTGCTCATTAAAGGTTCTTTCTGGTTCTTATGGCCAGGCAGCAGGTATTGACAAGGTAACCTAAGTCCATGCGATGGGACGCCCATCTTTCCTTCCTTTCTTCCTTCCTTCCTTCTAATTCACAAAAACCATTGTCATCTGTGGCGTATGCGTAGTATCAAATAAAGATGCTCTGCACGTGCGAGTCTCTGCGTGTGTGTGTGTGTGTGGGTGACTCCTCTGTATTTGCTAATTAGAGTACGCCTGCGGTTTTCCATTACAAAAAGCCATAAATACCCTTAACGTACGTAAGCCCCACCTCATCCCCATCACAGCTGCAGCACACGGAGGGCGAAACAGGTGAAAGGGGATCTGTGGTCTGGGCTACCGGGTGTTCACTGTGCCACCCCTGGCCTTTGTCACCCTTTGCCAATGGTCTAGCTCCTGTGGTTTCGCAGGCAAAAACTATTGCCTATTTATAAGGGCCCTGCTCTCGAGTCCTGCCAAGAAGTTCTGTGTATTCCACCCAACAGAGGCAGACAGAGACAGAGAGAGAGAGAGAGAGAGAGAGAGAGAGAGAGAGAGAAAGAGAGAGAGAGAGAGAGAGAGAGTGAGAGCGGGGGCGGGTAAACAACCCTTCTCGGGGATATTGTGGCAGCATGCAGCTTGTCTTTCATTATCTCGATTGTGGGTTCCAATGCTAAATCATTTGCATTGCTCTTTGCCAAACCGAAAAAGCAAGCATTTTCCCACACAACCAAGCACTTCTACTTCCAAAAAACATATGAGTTTCCCTCTCATCCAAACGGCAGGTGCATTTTCCCTCCCAGAGAAAGTAGAAAATGGTAATGGTAATAGGTTCCTAAGGATAACATGTATTGTGTACGCTGTCGATCGGCATATCGGCAATGCCCTTAATTGCATTTGCATCTGTATTCGTACATTCTACAGTAGAGCCCCATTACTCAGTCTTTCAGTGTAAAAAGCCGGCGTTCGTTAGGTTTCAAAAGTGAAGCGTATATCATAAAATAATTCATGATATATTTGTAGTATATTTATTTTATTCTTATTGCACCAGTAATTGCTGCTGGTGTTGTACCTTTCTCTCCTATTTTCGGTTTTATTTGCTAGATTAATATGTCTCTTTGATCTATGTGTTACATATGGGGAGAAGCAATCCTTTACTCCTGCCTTTGTTGTGTATCTTGGTGTTTCCTTGTTTTTGCCAGGTCTTTCTTTGTTTCTTTGGCATCTTATGCCGAACTTGACTGAAAGATTTCCAAAATATGATACAAAATCCAACCCACAAAATCTGAAGGGCGATGCATACGTAAGAGTCTATGTAAGAATGCTCGATATACGGGCCTATGCTCCTCGCCTTCGATGGACCTCGAAAAAGCATATATTCGCAGGAGTATGTTTACATTTTTCATGGGCGTAAATGACTCTTTGAAACTCCATAAAAAAAAGAGCCATGTCTGACCGCAAAATAGTTTTTGCACGTAAATTCTGGATAAGTCGCGGTCTATGATTAAACCAAAATCGATCTGTGGAGTTCGATTGGAAGAGCCAAAAGGATCAAAAGATCCATATTCAGAGCATTCATTTCAAACAGAATTCATTGAGTGGGGGAATTTCGACTTCCCCTCCGCGTTTCCTGGACTCTTTTCCACCCTAAATAGTCCCCAAACTCAACTCTACTCCCATTTCTTGCCCTGAGGTCTGGCTCTTCTTATACTCCGCATTCGAAGAGTGCCATAAAGGACATGTGTATGTCCATGTATGTTTGCTCTTTTCCGATCAGTTTTATGTATTAGTTCTCTTTGAAGAACTCTATTCGATTGAGGGGTATCTTATGGTTGAAGTGATGCTCTCTCTCGGGTTTTTGTTTGGTGTTTGCTGTCGTCTGCTCTGCTGATGTTTGCATTTGGCATTTGGCGATTCCACTTGCAGCTGCGACGATGCCTTGAATGATGATGAACGCCAGTTCGGGCTCGGAGGCGCTCCTATATGTCATTGCTCCAGCGATAAGGGCTCGGAGGAGCAGAAGGGTGAGAGAAGGGCTTCCGGCTTTTTTGCCTCGGAATAACTATAGTGGAATAATCAACACGGGAATACATACACGTACATGTACATACGTCACACCTTTGTTTAATGGCGAGAAATCTAATAATAGCTCCATGGCTCTTCCACATTTATTGGTACTATATGCACACGTACTGATAGCCCGATATATGTACGCACGAATGAGCATTAAACAATGTTTTGTCCAGGACGAAAAGACCCCCCCGTTCCCATATAGACGGACGAATGACGAGTGTTATTTAATTACGATCCTAACAAAATTCTATTGAATTTCCATCAGGGGTTGGTGCTGGGGCTCTGCACTAACACTCCCCCTAACCTACTACTTGCCCTTCACCCTGGCCCCACCATACACACTGAGAGAAAAGAGTAGTTCTTTGGGTCTAACCATGGGCAATAGAATGAATGGGTAAATATACCAGTGTGTAGATCTTGTAGCACTAGGATAGAAGATCAAGTAAATGAATGAATAAAAGAGGAGGGCGGAGGCGT